GGAAGAAACTCCTGAAGAGCAACACGCCACTAGAGGAGGACGACTTCCAGGTGGACGTTCAGGACTCACGCTTCCAAGCCATGTTCACGTCCCATCTCTACAACCTGGACCCGTCCGACCCGGCCTACAAGAAGACCAAAGCAACGCAGAGCATCTTAGAGGAGAAACAGAGACGCAGAGAGGAGCGACAGCACAGCCAGGAGGAGGCGCAGGAGAAGGATGGAGCAGAGGCGCCGTCATCCTCCACTAAAGTCATGGACCCCAGTTTATCATTGCTTGTCAGATCCATCAAGAACAAAACTGAACAGTTTCAAGTGCGCAAGAAACAAAAGACAAAATGATTCTCATAACAAGAGACTCAAGTCTCAACTCGAGTTGGTTTTCTGGAGTCTTTGTGTGTTACTTTAGTGACTGATTTGTGCTTGGAGACAAAATACTTTGATAATAAACATCATACTTTCTCCTAGTTCAAAATTTTTGCTTCAGACTTTTGTAATTGACCGGCCATTTTTGGATGAACACGTCAAGGGTTTGTTTACACCGTACACAAAATCTCATGATCTGCTGCTTCAGACTGGTGTCTCTAGATCAGTCTGACATAGCTAATTTGTGTAGATCCAGAGAGTTTTCAAAATTGATAGAGGAGGTGGGTTTGTGAGGAGTCACTAGCAATGAAATGAGAACCATGTTTTGAGTCATCCAAAAAAAAAAAAAAAAACTTTTATTAAATAATTGCTATTGTAATTTTAGTGTTGTTCTGTAAAAAATGATTAAATCCTATTTCTTTATTTTACAGCAAAATAGTAGTATTACTATAGTAGTTTCTTTTTTTAATTTAATATTTAATTTAATTTTTGTAATTTAACAGAATAAACATTCTATTATTTCATCATCATAACTATTATTAATACCTAGTAGTAAGTTATTTTTTTAAAACAAAAACAAAAAATGTAGAAATAAAAACGAAGGTTTTTAATGATTAGATGCTGCAATTCGAAGAAATTCTTAGTCTAAAGTGTAACTATTTTATTAGATTTTTTCAATTTGCCGATTTAATTTTGAGTCCATACTTAGATTCTATTTAGAACTTTTAGAATACACAACATACACATATGTACAATTTTGCTTGATGTGAAGAAGAAATGGTCTTAACTTCTACATACAAAAGTGACAAAGTCACGTTTGTAGGATATATTTTCAAATAGATGTCGCAATTCCCTTTTTCTGCCGTGGCAAAAACCGATTTCTATTGATTTAAAGGGATCGTTGAACCAAAACTGAAAATTCTGTCATCGTTTACTAACCCTGTCATTCCAAACTTATGAGTTTCATCTGCAAAAAATATATAATTCTTCAAAATCAGTGAGCAATGTCAATTTTCAGTTTTGCCTGAAGTGTCAAATATGTGCCTTCAAGAAGAGATTAGATTTACTGTAGTTTCAGAGTGTCACTTTTAATGAAAAATAGACACCGAGAAGCTGGAGTTAAAGTTAGCTTTATTCATGTTGACACAAACGCCGCTCACACATTCAAACAAGTCTGTTGGCACTTTCACGGGCACCTCATTTTCTACATAACAGAACCTCACTCATGCCATATATCAAAATACAGCTGTGAATGAATGAAAACCTCTTACACTTACAATTCCAGATGAATACGACCAGTGCTCAGAGCATGTAAAAACATCTCGCCTCATGGTCCAGGAATTTAGTGTACATGTAAGAACCGCTTGGGTAGTTCACATCATTAGACCCAATCCAGAAAAGGCACAAATTACAGAGTAATGTCAATAACACAAGGTTTGATTTGACCAAATAAAGCGGAACCCCAGTCCAGATCACAAGCATTTCAGAAGTAAAACCAACGGAATGAAATGACTAGATTGTGCCACAGTGTTACTAAAAAACAGCTACTTTATGAGAAATAGTGCAATTAAGGTTTGACATGGACATACACATGTAAGAGCTGGAGTGTTGTGTAGTGTTTCAGGTTGAAAACCACATCTATTTTATCACCACAGTATCATTTGTACAATTCCTGAAGCAAATGCAAATGGTGCTTGGCCTCGCCGCCATGCTGTTACAGATGATTGACAGGCCATTGCTATGGTGATTGCTGGGCGATTTCTTACTGGCCTTAGTAAACAATCCCACTGTCTATGATATTGTGGCTCGGATCCCTCCTTTAATGACTGATTTTTTTCTCTCCCCATTTTATCGTCTGATTGTTGGAAAAGTGACCGATTAGAACACCTTGAGTTGTCCACCGTAGTTTTAAATTTTGAAGGAATAGTTCAACCAAAAATGAAAATTTGATGACAATATATTCCCCCTCGGGCCATTCAAGACGTAGACGAGTTTGTTTCTTCATCAGAACAGATTTGGAGAAATGTAGCATTACATTACTTGTTCACCAATGCATCCTCTGCAGTGAATGGGTGCCGTCAGAATGAGAGTCCAAACAGCTGATAAAAACATCACAATAATCCACAAGTTCAAAGAAGAAGAAAAAAATCCATCATCAAGGTTTTTTATTTTTTATAACTCTCGTTTCTTGCTTAAATACGTGTCCGCTATATAATATCGCTTTCTCCAGTGGAAAAAGTTGTCTTGTCTGAATCAGGAGAGAAATATGCACAGATCAAGCACTGTTTACAAGCAAAAACAGTCCAGGGCTGCGTTTCCCAAAAGCATCGTAAGCCTAAGTTGATCGTATCTCCATGAGGCTTACGATGCTTTTGGGAAACGCAGCCCTGAACAGTTCTAAACAAGTATGTGGTTGGATGATGTGAGAGGACAACAGGGGACGGCCATTTTTACTGAAGTAAGCGTTATTATGGATTTATTTTTGGCCAGAAGTGACGGTTTAAAGTTAAAACGCCATGATGGATTTGTTTCTCACAAACATGCAGTTTTTTGAATCACAAAATGTTAATGGTTGGACTGGAGTGGTATGGATTACTGTGATGTTTTTATCAGCTGTTTGGACTCATTCTGACGGCACCCATTCACTGCAGAGGATGTAGTGATATAATGCTGAATTTCTCCAAATCTGTTCTTATGAACAATCAAACTCATCTACATCTTGGATGGCCTGAGGCGGAGTACATTTTCAGCAAATTTTAATTTTTAGGACAACTATTCCTTTAAAAAAATCCATGTTGCAGTTTGAGTAATAATAGTAATAGTGATATTATCTTAACCAGCACCACTAGTTCTCTCTCTCCTCATCTTTTCTCTCAAAGTCTTAACAAAGTCTTGTAAAACCCCTCTTAACTTCATGCCGCTTACATACAATGTTGTGTTGCACCAAAATGTTATAAAATATAGGATTACATGAATATTAAGTAGAGAAAATAAGTTTATAGCGAAACGCTTCAGGACAAATTGTGCGTCACGTGTTGAGTAAAAAAATTCTACAAATACTTCAGAGCTCAGTAAAATACGGTTTCATTACGATACGACACGCAAGGCGATACAAATATGATTCTGTAGAATAAATCAAGTGTGTGACTTCACAAATTAGATTTCAAGATATTAAATCATCTTCCTCACAAGAAACACAACATGTCTGCTGTTAGTCAGAGTAAACATCACGGAATGATTATTTAGCTTAAACGCTGTCAGTCACGTGAAAACGCAAACCTAACGACAGGAGACCCCAACGCTCAAAAACTCACTTCATGAGGATTTTACGTGATGCACATGTTATTTGTGTTGAAACGTTTAAGATTTACTTTATTTTTAGCGGACGTGTTCTTATTAGTGTCTTTCAATAATGCTTTGAGATAAATATTTATCCAGCTAAATAAGTGGATCATAATCTCTTCTCTTAACGAAATGCGTCACATAAAAATGAAAATGAGATCATTTACTCAACCTCATGTCATCTGATTCACTTGTGCACCATTTTACAAGTGATCTTAAATCATATGACAGCTTTTATGTGAGGAAACTGGTCATTATTGATTAAAAATCATTCACTCGTTCAACTGGAAATGAGACTTGAGAGCTTGAGAGCCTCAACTAATCAAAACAAAACAAAAACAAACCTCTGTTCAAAAGTTTGGGGTTGGTAAATTGATTTGCTCAAATACAGTAAAATCAGTAATATGGTGAAATATTATTACAATTTAAAGTAACTGTTTTCGATTTGAAAATATTTTAAGATGTAATTTATTCCTGTGACGCAAAGCTGAATTTTCAGCATAATTCCTCCAGTCTTCAGTGTCACATGATCCTTCAGAAATCATTCTAATATACTGATTCGCTGCTCAGGAAGCATTTCTTATTATTACGAATGTTGAAAACAGCTGGGCTGCTGCTTATTAATAATTATTGCTTATTAAACAGATTTTTTTCAGAATTCTTTGATGAGTAGAAGGTTCAAAAGAACAGCATGTATTTGAAATAGAAACCTTTCGTAACATTATATGTCATTACTGTAACTTGTAATTCATTTAATGGATCCTTGTTGATTAAAAGTATTAATTTATTACTTAAAAATACAGTAGTCAACATTTGAAGTGGATCAAAAAAGTTAATCAAAGTTGTCTTAATACAAGAACGCATTTTGGTTTTTGGACAACTTTGGCGAAAGGTTTTGATCCACTTCAAATGTTGACTACTGTAGTACTGACCCCAAACTTTTGTATGGTGTAAATTACAGCTCACAAGTTATATAGAACGCTTTAATATTTCAGAACTCTGACAGCCTCAGTCTCCATTGATCCTGGATTGAAAACAGCAGCATGAAATGCGTTTGGAAGACAATGAGGGTGAGTAAATGATAACCAAACTTCATTTTTTTTAGGTGCACAAACACTTCTAATATAGTCTATATGGATTGTCAGTAATCTCTAATAATCTTCTTTGCAGCCTTTGTGCAAATTCTGAGCAGCACTTCATTAAGGAACAACAAACATTGGGTTCTAATTAATCAGGGGTGCGTTTCCCTAAAGCATCGTTAGCTAACTATGGTCGTTAGTTCCACTGAACTCTATTGGTAACGATGGAACCTGCGACCATAGTTGCTTTTGGGAAACGCACCCCAGAACAGGATGCTCTCTCAAGCATAAAATATGAGTTCAGGGATCTGACCCCCCTGCACACCCGTCCCGTTGGTGCTGTCCGACGAGCACTGGAACTGGAAGGTCACCTTCCCGCACTGGACCTCCGTCATCCCCTCCTGGCCAAAATAACTCAACTCATTCCCGTCCAGAACCACGCTGGCCGTGTAGAAGGTGTCGGGTTCGATCTGCACCGGGTACTCGAAGAAGACGGGGAAGGTGTTGCTGGAGCCGTCGGAGAAGTACTTGATGATGGCGACCCCGAGCGTCACGCTGCCTTGGCGCTTCAGCTCGATCTTGGCCTGGTACTCGGCCGAGCCGCAGCTGGAGCCGTACAGCCCGAACCCGGCGATGAAGACGCGCTTGTCCACGGCGAACTGGATGCTGTCGCAGCGGCCGCGGTATCGCCACTGATTGCTGCGGTAGGCGCAGGACTGAAAGCGGTGGCACCTCTGCGGCGTCAACCCTTTGCGTGGTTTACAGACGAACTTGAGCTCCGGTTTCTTGGCCGCTGTGTACCACAGGAAGATATCGTTGGTTTCGTTGAGCGTCAGCACGCCGGACTGCGCCACGCCGTTGGCGAAATCATCGAGCGCCATCGCCGGGATCCGTATCAGGTAGATGTTCTTTCCCAAAACAAGCCGTTTGTTCTCGATGCTGGGCTGGAGTTCCTGTCGGTGACACTCGGCCTCCGCCCAGCTCAACGCCGCCTCCAACACCACCATCTCCTTGGCGTTGAGTGTCTCGCGCCGCAGGATGCTCTCCAGAGTCTGAGCGTCGATGTCGCAGAACCCCTCGGAGCGGAGCGCGAGCTCGGCCTGCGCGTCGATCACCTCCCAGCAGCGCTGCGTGAGGTCGGGCTCCTCGAACAGGCAGCTCTGAGAGAGCAGGACGCAGGCGTTTCGCGCGCTCAGGCTGGTCTCCAGGAAGTTGACGCAAGCGCGGGCCAAGTGGGGAACGATGTATTTTTTGGCGGCGTACAGCGTGGCGAGAACTGTGTCTGCACACAGGTCGATCTCATCAGTAGACATAAAATCTATATAAAGTAAAATAAATAAATGATAATTATATTTATTTTATTAGAAAACAAATCACTAGTGTTCTCAGACTTTTGGACCCCATGTGCTATCTTCATGACCCCATCACATAAAAAATGTGCAAAAATGTTTTGTTTCATTAATAGCTTTGAAAACCGTACTTCAACATGGCCAGGAATGACGCCGGCTCAACATCAGGGATCCGGATCTCATCCTTATCTTCAGCCAGTTCTCCGTAGAACATGGCATGAAATACAGAACTACCCACAGCCAGGACATACTGAAAGAGGGAAAGACAATGAATTCAAAAAGAGATTATAAATATGATTTATAATGACATTATATACATGTATTTATATAAATAAAAAAACCTACTTAAAATTCTCCATTTATTTTCTCAAGTTATTTAATGTATTGTATTCACTGGATTCAATGTCAGTGTATTGGTAACACGGCTGAAGTGTGGTAATTCTGTACCTTGTGTCCCGGCACTCTCTGGGTTCCTCCAGGAGGTCCCACCACAAAATGAATATCGGCCATCAGCTCGTTGTTGAACATGACTGTGTTTCTGCAGAGGACAAATGAGCGAGACCCTTCACATACAGCGCTATCAATGCAACATCACGTGCTGTCTAGGTAGGCAGCATGACAGAGCAATACACAAGAGAAAGAGTGATTCACCTCTCTCTGATAGTGGGATACAAGCCTTGCCAGTTACATCCCTGAATGGTGTTGTTGTTGCGGACGTTCTGCTGCTGGTACTGTTGAACAGCGGTGGGTGTGACAGTGGCCAGTTTTTTGGCAGGAAACAGCTCAGCGGCCATTTTACCAACACATGTCAATTAATCAGGAGGATTTCATATACCTGAAAACAGAGCGCAGACAATTCTGTAAATTCTACCGAACGCTGCCGCCATTGAAGCAAATGGGAAACAAACCAAATACTAAACATTCACTCAAATTGTTAAGCTGATAACCAGATCATTAGTTATGGGAAAAAAGAAGGATTACATTTATAAATTTATAAATAAATTAATTGAACATTTATTTCCCTATTTTAATCAAAAATGCTGTCAAATAAATTATATTTTTATCCTTAAAGTCCCCATAACATAACAATTTGAGAGTTTGTAATGCAATAAAATAGAATTTAAATGTATTTAATACAATTTTTTTTTTTTAATTGTTCTAAAAAGAAAATTAAACCTCACTTTATTGGACCTCACCTTAGATTTTGATCTTTAAACACATTCACGACATCGTTTTAGTACTGGAAAAATATCAGAACTATAAATGTATAAAAAAAAAACATAATAATAGAAAAAATAAATAAATTCTGCATAAAAAAAAAGAAATCTAATTAAAATACTCTAATATCTAATTTCTTAATTTCTAATTTATTGTATTTACTGGAGTGATTCCATGTCAGTATTTCTGAAACATGGCTGAAGCCTGGTAATTCTGTACCTTGTGTCCCGGCACTCTCTGGGTTCCTCCAGGAGGTCCCACCACAAAATGAATATCGGCCATCAGCTCGTTGTTGAACATGACTGAGTTTCTGCAGAGGACAAATGAGTGAGACCCTTCACATCCAGTGCCATCAATGCAACATCACGTGCTGTCTAGGTAGGCAGCATAACAGAGCAATGCACAAGAGAAAGATTGATTCACCTCTCTCTGATAGTGGGATACAAGCCTTGCCAGTTACATCCCTGAATGGTGTTGTTGTTGCGGACGTTCTGCTGCTGGTACTGTTGAACAGCGGTGGGTGTGACAGTGGCCAGTTTTTTGGCAGGAAACAGCTCAGCGGCCATTTTACCAACACATGTCAATTAATCAGGAGGATTTCATGACAGAGGATCTGGCAACCTGGATATTCAGAATGACACAAAAAGCATTTATTATACATAAATTTAATACAAAATGCTTGAAATGACTCTTTTTATACATTTACGTCTATCGTTAATAACATGTATTTAGAGTTTATGACATTATCAATCCAAACTGTCATTAGCAACCTATCTAGCAATATATCTTTTTGATTTATTTTTAATAGATCTGTTTATCCATGTTATCTTAAACATAACCTACATTAAACTGGCGCTAAACGAAGCAGTTCACATTAAAAAACAATTTAATTCACATTCATTGCTAGACTCGCATAAACAGTTAACGTTAGCAATCACAGCTAAAGCTGCGATGATCATCCAAATATCACAGAACAGCAAGAATACTGTTAAATAAGTGTTTGAATGATCTAGAATCTAGCCTGCATTTAGTAAATGGTTTGATAACTGTAATATCAATGATAACAGATGATGATCTGAATTCAGATGCAAGCAACAGGAAATAAACAAAAGCAGCCATCGGGCTCACAAACCTGCAAAACCCCTAAAACATCAAACTAAAACACCATCACGACATGCCTGCACTCATTAACTAATAACAGTTCGATAGCAGTAATTACCAGAGGCCGATTAATGCAGCAGCTTTAGTGATTGAGTGAGGAAAGTTTGCAGCTGGTTTGCACATCAACAACATCCGCCTGACCGACTGCGCATGCGCCGTAAGAACACTTCGCAAATAAACAATTATTATTATTTGTAAGCAAAAAGAGAGAGAGAGAGAGAGAGAAGAAAATACGACTTGCCGTTAACAGTAGGTACTACGTACTTTAGATATTTTATTTGAGTTGTGTTAATATTTAGATACAAAAACTGATGTTAAGGGCAACCGTAGTAGATAACTGTTAATACAGCCGTGTCTTGATATGATAAGATGTTTCTCACAAACTACAAATATTTGCTGAAAGACAAATCGCTACCAAATTATTTGTTTAAAGCCAATCATATATTTAATATTTCAAACATATATTTTATTGAAACTAATATGGCCAGCAGGTGGCACTAAATACAAGGTTTTAGAGTAGCTAATTGAAAACCTTTTTTTTTAATTATATGTATATATATATATATATATATATATATGTATACATATATTATTCTGTTTCTTTCCTGCACTGTAAAACCCACTTTCAGTTTTGGAAATTGTATTTTTCATTCAGAAAATCAAGCTGCTCTGAAAACTAAATTATAGAATAGTATATTGTACTTTAAGTAGAAATGACAGAAATTGTGACTGTATTTGCTCCTCTTTGTAGCAGACTGTTCAGTTTGCCAGCCGTAACAATGGAATTAATGGATAATTATAATACAAGAATGTTTAGCTCAAAACATTCTTGTATAATAAGTACAGTTGCAAACTTACATTGTTTACCTATAAACAGTCTCTCTTGCCACTGACAAAACATGCATTACAAAAAGATATTGGATTTTTGAGCCTTACACATTTTTAGACGTCTACTATCATCCTAACCATCTTCAGTCTTAAACATCGAGGTCAGTGTGTGAAAGTCACAGACTGCAAAGAATCTCTTTTATTAGTGATAAAATAACAAATATTCAGATGCATCACTGGAATCCCACGGCCAGCAAACCTCTGACTGAACATTGACCCTGGAAAGCAGCTTGACTGGAGCTTAACAGCAAAAGCAGTCACAGGAATGCAACGCTGCCCTTGTTGCACTGATGCAAAGGCTTTACGTAATGATTTACTAATTACACTATAGAGGCCTCGGCCTTGGGGAATGCTGGGTAACGGGTCTCTCAGTCAGACTCCGACAGGCACCGACCTAATGGAAGGGGTCCGTAAACAAGCCACACTTTTATTGTCTGGACATTGATTTGTATCTCTCAGACCAATTCTAGGCCATTTAGAGGTTTTTAAACTAGGAAATGACCATTGTTTGCCCGTCGACAGTAGTTATGGTTAGCTTGAACACAAAATTGTTCTTTTTGATTGTTCGTGTGGAGTCTCATACTATGTTTACTCTTCTATTCATAGATTCAGTCCGTTTTCTTTGCTTTTCCATAAAGTCTGAGATTAAACTACTGTGGTAACGCTTGTGAAATGTCATATTAAAATATAAGTTTAATAAAACATCAGTTTGCTTTTATAGGATGGTCGATTTGGTTATGGCAGACACAAAAACATGCACAACACAAAAAGAAACCAGAATGTGCCCAAGTTGTATTTGGACACTTAGCCACACTTGCAAGTGGCTGAATTTCATTGTATTCACGAACAAATGCTGCTAAACCTTTTCTCAAAACGTATTTTCGTTTGTATCTTCGTTTTCAACAGCATATCTACTGTTTTAACATTTAAACTTAAACTTCTTTTTATGAAATGTTCTCATAAATAAATAAATACAATTTCAAAACATAGAAAAAAATGGCCAAAAAGTATGTTTATGTTCAAATATGATTCTAAATATATTTGAATATTTTCTACCAATATATATTTAGGCAATTTTTTGTATATTTTTGAAAACAACTTTTTTTTTAATTTAAATAAATTTTAAAATAAAATTTGCACTCAATTTATTTCAATCCAAGAAAAAAAAGAAAATAAATTTGTTGTCTATAACATTTTAACATAATACATTTGAACAAAAAAACATAATGTACAATGTTCCAAAAAATGTAATATTACATTATGTGAAAAAACATGAATAAATTATTAGAAATGTAGTTTTGATCTCTAATAGGCTATTCCATTCTGCATTTAGCCTAATTGTAGGCTATAGTAAGATTTATTATTAGATTTATTATAGTAAGATTTTTTTATTGCCAATTTATTTTCTTGCCCTGAAAAGCATTTTGAAATGTATTTTGGTAAATGAAGGTCTAAAGCTAAATACATTTTCTATTTCAGAAATATGTGACCCTCTCTGTGAAATCCAGGCTAAAGTCTCAAAATCTAATTAGGAGATAACATAATTATAATAATTTCAATCTTTGACATGACCTTACTCAGTCACTATTAAAGATATAAAGGTTACATTTTCACAGATTGTTCTTTACCTTATGAAGGATGATTTTATGTAGAAAACAGTAAATCACAAAAAAAAAAAGACTTTAGCTGGGTTTTCACAGAGAGGGTCACATATATTTCATTGAGCTTCACTGTATGGGAAGTGTGGCTGTGCTATCTTTCTTAAAAATATATGCCACTTGGTTTGGTATTTTGTTATCTTTCAATAATATCCTGACATTTTTATGTGTGGTTTATGTCTCCAATAGCTTTTTGTGGCCACTGTATTTGCAATTTACATTTTAGTAACCACAAATAATGAGCTGGGATTAACAGCATATGCAGTTATATTTACACAACTCATGTGGCGTTGCAGCCATAACATTATACAGTATCTGCAAATACAGATATTGTATCATTTTAGTTGAATGTGGCTGCTAATGAAATCTCATGTTCTCTTTTTCCTCTGTAGTGAGCGGTGGTGATTTATGCCCCAAGTGTATTGTGGGATATCAGAGTCTCTGAACACAGGGTTGGTAAGACTTTTCCTACTCCACAACGATTTAAGTTTGGCCTTTGTGAGTTTTTTCCTTCTTTTATTAGATTATCTGTCATTTTGCAAAATGCATTTTGTACCAAACGTTTATGATTTTGAGAAATTGCTCTGAGTTATGATAATTTGAGCCCACCAGAGCCCACTGTGTATATATACGTTTATTTCAAAATATATTTCAACATGCTTTCAACATGAAAATTGATTTCAAAATATATTTCAACATGTTTGCAACATGTTCCACTAATATTTAACACTTAAAAATTGTGCATTTTTTTCTTTCTCTCTCTGTCTATACATTGATCAGTATCACCCAGCTCTATTTTAAATGTACTTTTCTTCCTAACAGTCCTGTCATGGTGTCACATTTAGTGTTGTTTTGCTGTGAGTGATGGCACATGCATTCAGCCCCAAACCCCCCAAGATCCTTTTCAAATCCTTGAGCGAGCAGATTGGCCAAAGTCAATTAGAAGTCTATTACAATGAAATGCTGTTTATGGAGATAAAGGATGAATTAGCCATACTAACTCTCTTCATTCATAGCCTCTCTTTTTCTCTTATTCTCTCAAGTGGCATTCATTGAATTGAATAATACGTCTCATGCCTGGGAACCGCAGCGTTTGGACTGAACACATGGTGTGATAATGGGGGGCTCTGTATTCATAGGCTGGTCAGTTCCTGCCCCTTGTATTGTGCGCAGGCTTTCTCAGGGCTTAGTGTATGTGTTGTGAAGAAGGAAAGGGTGGTAACAATGTTTCATGAAGGGTATTGTAGTATTTTTAGTGAGGCCTCTTATTGTTCATTTGGCTGCGAGTGAGAGGAACAGACGGCTGGGCTGCACATCCAGGTGCATTCTGGGATCCGGTGTGTCTTGATCCAACCCCTTCTTTGTCACATCATCCATTGTCATAATCTCAAGCTGTGTGTGTGTCCATCTCATAGACAGTCATTATGAGAGCATGCTACTCTTACACACCTTCGCTAGAGATTCCATCAAAGAAAAGGCAGTTCTGTACCTTAGAAAACAAGACAAAACAAACAAGGAAAAATTAAACTAAACAGCAAGTAAAACACAAACAAAAGCAAAGAAATCTGAACTGAACTAAACTAAACTAAACTAAACTAAACTGGAAGTAAAAAGACAAAAAAGCTATCTAAACTAAACTAAACTAAACTAAACTAAACTTCAAGTAAAAAGACAAAAAAAGCTATCTAAACTAGACTAAACTGCAAGTAAAAAGACAAAAAGCTATCTAAACTAAACTAAACTACACTGCAAGTAAAAAGACAAAAAAAGCTATCTAAACTAAACTGCAACTAAACTAAACTAAACTGCAAGTAAAAAGACAAAAAAGCGATCTAAACTAAACTAAACTAAACTGCAAGTAAAAAGACAAAAAAGCTAACTAAACTAAACTAAACTGCAAGTAAAAAGACAAAAAAGCTAACTAAACTAAACTAAACTGCAAGTAAAAAGACAAAAAAGCTAACTAAAAACTGCAAGTAAAAAGGCAAAAAAGCTATCTAAACTAAGCTAAACTAAACTAACTGCAAGTAAAAAGACAAAAAAGCTATCTAAACTAAACTAAACTAAACTGCAAGTAAAAAGACAAAAAAGCTATCTAAACTAAACTAAACTAAACTACACTGCAAGTAAAAAGACAAAAAAGCGATCTAAACTAAACTGCAAGTAAAAAGACAAAACACCTATCTAAACTAAACTAAACTAAACTGCAAGTAAAAAGACAAAAAGCTATCTAAACTAAGCTAAACTAAACTAAACTGCAAGTAAAAAGACAAAACACCTATCTAAACTAAGCTAAACTAAACTAAACTGCAAGTAAAAAGACAAAACACCTATCTAAACTAAGCTAAACTAAACTAAACTGCAAGTAAAAAGACAAAACACCTATCTAAACTAAGCTAAACTAAACTAAACTGCAAGTAAAAAGACAAAACACCTATCTAAACTAAGCTAAACTAAACTAAACTGCAAGTAAAAAGACAAAACACCTATCTAAACTAAGCTAAACTAAACTAAACTGCAAGTAAAAAGACAAAACACCTATCTAAACTAAGCTAAACTAAACTAAACTGCAAGTAAAAAGACAAAACACCTATCTAA